ATGAGGCCCTGAGTTCAATATTCAGCATCCCAAACAAACAAAAGTGAAATATCCTTAGCAGAATCCAGTGAGGCTCTAGATAGCATGGGATATGCAGTCATCTAAGTTAGGGACATGTGGATGACTATACAGCCTTCCTGATGGTCTATGCACACAAGCTTGGTGAAGGCTCTGATATTTTCTGAGACTAGACCCAGTAGGCTGGGTCAGTGGGCAATGACAGCATAGAACCAGGAAACACAGGGAGTAAGTAGGGTGGAATTTTTGAGACACGGATGGATGCAGCTTCTTTGGAGACATAGTACCTGTTTTCATTTCTGCTTTGGTTAACATCCTAGTGAATTTACACATTGAGGAAGCAATAGTAGTAAGGCCGCAATAACCCACACTGCCCATTTTGTCTTGGACAATGAACTAGCTATCACATGAAGAGAAGATGAGGGCATATAGTCTTGAAGAAAACAGTCAAGTAGCTCATTGGGGGTGGTCCTAAATGGTATAAGATATCAGGCTGAGCAAGCCAGTAAGCAGCATTCCTCCATGGCTTCAGCTTCATTTCCTGCCTCCAGATCCCTGCTTGAGTTCCTGTCCTGACCTCTTCTGTGATGGACTGTTACCTGGAAGTATAAGAGAAAATAAACCCTTTCTTCTCCCATGAGAAACTCTCCATACCATGTTCTTTTACCATTTCAACTATTTTCCAATTCATTTTTTAAAGAGCAGCTGGATTTTGTTGTTTTCTTTTAAGATACGGCCTTAGGTAACTCAGGCTGGCCTCTAACTGCTATGTAGTCAAGGATGACCTTGAATTTCTAACCTTCTTGTCTCTATTTCCCAAGTACTAGGATTACAGGTGAATATGACCACTCCCATGGAGACATTATTTTTGCTCTGGGGCCTTACTGGACATCTACAGCTGAGGCAGTATAGTATGGTTGGTCTATGCCAACTCTGGGCTTAGCACTAAAAGTGCTTACTTATGCCTCTCATGTTGAACTGCCTTCAAATACAGTGTACTGATGGGAAAACTGGGAATGTAGCCCATGTGTAGATGCTTCCAATAAGTGAAGCTCCAAACAGTAAATACCTTCCAATCTTTGGGATCAAGTGTTTTCAGCATGGGAAACTCTTCTAACTGTAACTCTTCATCTTCTGACTCCTCGGATAGCTCTTTCTTATCCTCCAGTTCCTGAAAAGAGGTAGAAGCATTTCTGTTTCTCCTCTTAACAAAAGCTTCAAACCATCTTCCCACAGGTTCAACTTGACAGAGTGCAGAGGCTGTGATGGAGAACAGTAAGACTTAATCTATTGAACACGGCTTTTTCAAGGTAGCACCATTTCTTAGGAAGAGCAAAACAATGATGTCAGAATATAATTTTGAAGCCATCAGCTATAAAAATAATTGCAAACACCCAGTTGCATCATAGATAGCAAATTAACATTGGTAACATTTATTGTTCCAGCAACCTCTTCCGGTTAACATGCCATTAAGGCTGATGACCTAAGTTCAATGCCCAGAACCCACATAAAGACAGGAGGGAAATGACTCTATAAAGCTTTCCTTTGACCTCTGCATGCATGCTGTGGCACTCAAATACCCAGTATTTTTTTTTTTTTAAAGAAAAAGAAATTCAGCAGCTAATCAATATTTTCCCTAGAAGGTGAGAAAGGAGAGCGAGGAACCAATAATAGTAATAAAATAAAAGATAAAAAGCCACCAAGAGCTAACCTTGAGAAAACAATAACTATACCCATTAACTATTAATAGTTTAATTATTAACATAGTTAATAATTCTAAGGATTCTCTGGCAACAATCTGTTCAAATAGACAATTTTCCAACCTAATGTTGGAGACTAATTACTGTGTCTATGTCCTGGGGACACAGGCTGGATACAAACCTCCAATCCCTGGTTTTGTTTTGCTTTTTCAAGACAGAGTTTCTCTGTGCAACAGAGGCCGTGCTGGGTGTGTACCACCACACCCAGCTGAATCCCTGGGTTTTAATCTAGGACCAAGCCAGGAGTGATGGAGCACTCCTTTAATCCCAGCACTCGGGAGTAAGAGGCAGGCAGATTGCTGTGAGTTCGAGGCCAGCCTGGTCTACAGAGCAAGTTTCAGGACAGCCACAGCTATGCAGAGAAACCCTGTCTAGAAAAACAAAACAAAAAAACAAAGACAAAAGAAATATATATAAATAAATAAAATACATATAACACATATATTTCATCCAGTTACTAGAATATCTGAATGCAGTTTTAAAACCACAAACTGCTATAGAGAAGGTATTATGGAATCAATCACTGTATATCTATATAAAAAAAATTCAAAAATGATAATCTGAGTCCAAAAAAAGTGAGATCAACATTTTAATTTCATTAAGTAACCAAAGTGCAATTTTTTTTGTTGCACGGTTTTGGGTTCACATTTTAAAAGAACGTTACTCACGTTTTAACTGGTTTATGATATTAAGATTTCCTGCACCTAAGACGGGAAAGGATTCAAATGCTAATATGAGCCGGCTGTGTGGCGGGGGCGTGGCTTTCAAAACAGTGCCTCAGGAGCCTTTTTCTCTAGTATAGGATTACATCGAGACTCACAGACGCAACACGTGCCATGGGAAACATTTAAAACTCACATTCAACAAGTGCCCACGGTAAGTGGCTACGGGAATTAATGCAGATCACTAAAATCGGGGAGCCGAACGCTTGCAATACTTTCGGCCGTGCCGGGTTATAAACCAAAACGCCTCCAGCAAGAGTCTAAACTGCACTTTCAACCATTCCTCAGTGTAAGCCAAGCTCTCCGAAAGCACCCGCAGGGGGCTTCCAATGGTACGAGGAAGTTCTGAGTTCTGACACTTCAAAATCAGAGCCAGGAGCAAAGGTAGAGGTGCTTAACAGCACGAACCCGGCTTTGTACAACTCCCGGCACGTGGGTGCATGCAGCCGGGTCTCTCCGCCGTTGGCAAGGGGGTGCTTTCGATCTTTCAGGGTGCTGGGGGGCTCGGTCCTGAACTGCTCAGCCCGCTCCATGAGTCAGCAGCCCAAGGAGAAAGGAGGAACCACAGGTGCAGAAGGAAGACGCCCCCACCCTCCTTTCTAATAAACCAGGGACACTTTAAATTAGAGCAAGGAGCAACGAGGGCTCGTCCTGGCCCCACAAGCCCCGGAGCAAACCGCTGCGGTCAAGGGTACCGACGCAGGGGTTGCTAGGGAGGGGGCTGAGGCAGGGGCGCCTGCCTGGGGCAGGACGGAAAATGGGTTGGTGGGCACGTACCGGAGGTCAGAGCGTGGGTGATGGCGGTGCCCTGGCCGTCCGCGGCGCTCGGCAGGAGCAGCATAGTGGCTGGAGCTAGTCCCGCGGACGCCGCGGCTCCCGTCCGTCCGGCAGGCCCTCTGCGTCCGCTCTACCTGCTAGTCCCAGCCTCGCGCCCAGGCTTTACGCCTAGGAACCGGCGCATGGAGACGATCAGTAAGCACTTCCGGGATGGGGCTTTCGCGGTGCGGACGCGAATCCCACCCCCCCACACTCGCGCCAATGTGCGCGGCCGCCTACTTCCTCTATCGACTCTAAACCGGCTGGAGACCACGGAGCCCAAAGGAACAGTTCCTAGACTCATCGGTTCCTGCGTGGAAAAGGAGTCTTTTTCCTTACATGAGGCCAAGACGTAGAAAATAGAGGAGCCTCACCCCCTATGTCACCCAGGCCAGCTTCTAATTCGTGAAAACCCTGTCTCAATCTCCCAAGTGCTGAGGTTTCAGTCATAAACCACTACCGATCCCTGTGTACCTCATGTAAGTGGAATCATGTAACCACATATTAGTTATATTACATTACATTATATATTATATTATCATTGTCTCTGTGTGAATGCTATATTCACTAGTATAATGGTCACAGAATTATTTTTAAGGCCAGATTTTTAAGACCACATTTTTATCTGTTTATATATATCTGGATACTTGGGCTGTTCTTCATTCCTACTTATCTTTTATTGCTTATGCAGCCATGAACATGGCTGTACAAGTATCTCCTTGAAACCCACTTCCAAATATTTGGAATTACTAGCTTATATAGATTCTATTCTAGTTGTTTTCAGTTTTCAACAACCATTGCACCATTTCACCCACCAACAGTGTACAAAGGTTCTATTTTTTTTCCTTCATTCTCTCAAACTTTATTTTCTAAAAACAAAACAAAAAAACCCAGCCGTCCATGAATGGGGTGTGGTAATGCACTCCTTTTGTCCCCAGCCCTCAGGGACATAGATGTCTGTAAGTTTGAAGCCAGTCTTGTCTACATAGCGAGTTCTAGGACAGCCAGGGCGGCATAGAGAGACCCTGTCTTTAGGAGGAAAAATAGCCACTCAAAAAAAAAAAAAAAAAAAAAAACCAAAGTGCTTTTGATTTGCATTTTCCAAGGGTTGAAACTTTGTGTTCATTTGTTGACATTTGTGTGTATACTTTAGAGAAATGTCTGCCCAAGTTCCTACTTCCCTATCTTTTAAACATTATTCCCCTTCCCATCATAAAAACCAGATTGTTTTCTTGTTAAGTTGTAGTTTTTTTGTATAACTTGAATACACATTCCCTAACAGAAATGCATTACCTTCATTCTATTTGTAGACCTAGCCACCAATTAACTGTGTCTAAACTGTCAGGCGTTTTACACACAGTTATTTAGTGCCTTCCCAATCTTGTGAAGTCAAGAGGAAATTAAAATTTTAGAGATGTAATGAATTACCCGACTGTATGTCTTTTTTATTAATGACGAAATCAAGATTTAAGCTCATCAACTGAGCCAGGGTTAATCTTGGAAGTTCCTGTTCGGGTACCTAAAAAGATCAGGATTGGTAAGGGGGGGGGGGGGGTACAAATGTCTCCTAAAATGAAATCTTTCCGAAGTCTGGGCTCAGCACAACCAGCCAGTCTCTTCAGCCCCTAGGCGCAGCTGTAAATGGGAGCCAGTGCGCTCAGCTATTTCCGGTGGGGAAGAGAAAGGGAAGACACCGCCGGAAGCGAGGAAGGTGCTGTGTAATCAGTGAGACGCGGAGACGCTTGGCGCCTGCTAAAATGCCGGATTACCTAGGTGCGGACCAGCGGAAAACCAAAGAGGATGAGAAGGACGACAAGCCCATCAGAGGTAAGAGGACGCGGGCTCGCGCTCCCAGCCGGGAGAGGCCAGCGCCGGCCCCGCCGAGGCGCGGGAGTCCCGCCGCTTCGGTGCTCTGCCCGCTTTGGACCCGAGTGCTGACAGGCCTGGGCCGCAGCCCCTGCCTGCCTCCTAGTTTCTCCTTGCTCACTTCAAGCTCTGGATTCTTATCCCGACGACCGATTATTTTTAATCTTTTTTTTTTTTTTCAATCGATGTTTTATCAGGCGTTAAAGTTCCCGTCTCTAGTGTGGCCTTGCAGGTCTCCAAAAAGTGGCCTGATGAGGTTTGAGTTCTACCTCCCGGCCCCATCCCTCCCTCCCCAGCTGTGGTAGCTTGGTGCTAACTGTGTAGCGACGATCCTGAAACGCGACGTTCAGAACTCGAGTCAGAAGAGATAAAGTCTCTCGTCCATGTCCCCATGTTCTAACCAATGCTGATGCCAGCCAAGCAATGGGTTGCCATTTTACATTTCTTTCTAGATAATTTTAAATATACATGGAAGTGTGTGTGTGTTAATGTATCTTGCTGTATATCAGCATCTTGAATTTAGAGACTCATGATAGCAAGTGCTTGTCTCTATACAAAATGTTATGGTTGTACAGAAACGTTTAATTATTGATGGAGATTTCGAATGTTCCAGCCTATAGATGACCGAGTCATATAACTCACCACATGGAAGCTATAGGCTAAATTCTAGAAGCAGGGTTGTCATTTTGCCAAATTACTCCCCATAGAGACTAGACTTGACATTTTTTCATTTGGTGTATGAGATGTGGTCAACATTTTCCATGTAGTTACTCCCTCTTTTTTTTTAGTCTCATCTTCATGCTTTGTTTTTAACTTTTTTTAACCTTAAAGACTTGTTTTTCAGTGTTGTAGTGTCTCACATATGATTATTATTAATTACAGTTTATTCACTTTGTATCCCAGCTGTAAACCCCTCCCTCATCCCCTCCCAATCCCACCTTCCCTCCCTCATCTCCTCCCATGCCTCTCTCCACTCACTTTTCTCTTAACAACCTCAACCTCTTTTAGCATCCATCCTTCACTGATTATGCCTCTTCCCCAGAGAAGGCATTTTTTTTTTTATCTTCACTCCACGCCTGGTAAAAGTTTTACACCATTGAAAGTTTCAGAGGTACTCAGGATCTATTGGAAAGCTTAGTCAGAAAGTTTGTATTTCGTTTGTTTGTAGTAACCAATGTCTTTCTCTGGAAATGGTGTTTTGTAAAAGAGTAAGACTATTTTGGAGTTCAAGTATGGCTACAGTGTGTTGGATTTTACGTGTATCTTATGTGCTCTTTACAGAAATGCTGAAGGGAAAGTCCCCGTATGTTAGATGATGAAATCAGTGCTAGAGAAATTAAATTGTTTTCCTAAGGTAACCTGGGAGAAATATGACCTTTTATTTAAGCCTGTCTTTGCTGCAATTTCCAGCCCCATGTACTTTTGGCTTCTGCCTTGGTTCTGTGGCATCATTTTGAGTCCCTTCAGCAATTTGATACCCTGGGATCACCTGACTTCTGACTTTCATCCTCATCTGTGTCTCAGGTGATGGCTCTTAGACACTATTTTCACTCCTGAAATGGCAAGCTTCCCATTACACCTTTTGCTCCCCCTTTTTTAATTCTGGGAACTTCATTGTTTTGAGTCTCTTTCGGCTCACAGGCCATCCACATTGTTCAAAGCAGTTTAACCTTGTTGATCAAGTTACTTCAATTCCAGCTTTGATTTCTCCTGGCCCCTCCTGCTGATTATGGTCTTGTGACTGCTGACCCCATTTGTTTGCTGGAGTAGTCTTGGTCAAGCTTTTAACCTCTTCTGCAAGCCCTCAGTGTAGTTCTGTATTCCTGGCTGATGACTTTTTTCACCTTTCCCCAGGAGTTCTCTTCTATGGTTCCTTTCACTCAGTTCTGCCTCTGAGGACTTGTGCTAGTTTCTGTCAGGTCTTTCCTCCTCCGTTCCTGGTCTTATCTCTCTCTTTCCCCTAGGACTTTGTCTCTGCCCCTGTTTGTGTTTCTACAGAATTTCCTCCTTTTGTTTCTGTAAATATACTAGCAATCTACTTTGTCTGTCCTAAAAACATACAGTTGAGGAAATATTTTTTTTTCAATCTGCAACCCATTTTCTTTTTTACTGTCTCTTCTCCCCTCCCTCCTTGTCTTGCTTTCTCTCTCACTCCCTCCTTTCCTTTCCTTTCTTTTATTGCCTAAACAGCAGAAAGGAGGACCTAGATGTAAATCTTGACATTGGTTCTTACTAATTGGCCATGTAATAATAAACAAATCACCTACATTTATTTTTCTTCAGTGTAGTTTGGGAATAATTGTATTTGTGGGATGAAATATATGTCCATAATATACATTACATTTGTCTCTAATCACTGTCTCACATGACTCTTTGGTCAGGGGCGGCTTCTGTGGTCCTGTGTCAGCTGGGTTACTAGGTAACCTGGGCCTTACTAAGCTTCTGTAACTGACCTTCATTGTGTATCTTTCCCTGCTGTTTCTCCTTCCTTCATTCTGTCCTGTAATAGTTTCTCTAACATTTCCTTCCTGGTGATTTCATCCATTCTCATCTGGAACTGTCTCTTCTCAGATATAACTCTCAATTAACCTTTATAAAAGTTTATTGTGGGAGGTGGCAAGTAGGGTAGGATCAGTCCTTGGTAGCCGCTTTCCTCGTGGCCACTAATGTTCTGTTCAGCTCCGTACTGCTTCCTCTCTTGGTGCATCCCCACCAAGAGGATGAACTTGATGATGAACTTCTCGATGAACTTGCCCTCCGTTTGCTCTTGGAGACCTTGAGAAATAAAGTCACACCTCCTGGACCATGTCGTCAAAGCACTTGGTGTGTTTAGCGAGCTGTAGACACCGGTCTTTGTTGAGGTCCATTGGCTGCTACTCTCCAGTGGTAGCCAAGACCAGAAGGATTGGAACCCAGTTAATCTTCATGTTGGCACTAAAACTCTCCTGTCCAATATCTCTGCATTCTGGATTGCCACATTGGGATATTCTGGTGTGTGAGGGAGTCTTAAGACCACTATTAGATTCTGAAGTTAATAGAACATGCCATTGAACTTAGACATTTAGTTGTGCCTATGACTTTATTATGGATAGATACAAAGCAAAATCTGCAAAGACAAAAGGGACAGAGGACACGAGGTGACATCCAGAGGACACCAGGAATAGAAATTGCACAGATAGATGCTCCTGATTGCCTCAACAAGATACAAAGGCGTATATAAAATAATTACCAGTCGGGGAAGGGTGTTGGAGACTCAGGGCCAGAGCCCAGTTTTTTTGTTTGTTTTGTTTTTCTGGCTGGAGTTGAATATCTAGGCAGGTTTTGCCTAGTACATAGCGAAATTGCAGACTCTCAGAAAGAAAGTTGGTTGGTATTCTGCATAAACTTATTTGTGAAAATAGTTGGCACAGTGAACTATTCTGTCAGTTCTGGAATGATAAAATCTCTGCACCCGAAGGATAGCAGTCCAGCCACTCTGCTGACTCTTCTTTACAGGCAGAGATACCCGAAGCTTAGCAATATTGAGACAGAAATAAGTATATCTCTTTGCCAGCCAGTTCCTAGTTATTTCTGTGCACTGAATTCCCAGGTACAAAGCTTGTAAATTGTGTTTGATTCTTCTCTTCTTCAGCTTCCAATTTAGTATGTTGCTCTGTGCTTCGGATTCTTTTTCTCCAGGTTTTTCTAATCCTGGTTTTTTCTTTTCTTCTTAATTGTTTTGTTCTGTTTTTGTTTTTATTTTTACAGTGCTAGGGATTGAGCATCCAGCTTGCTCTCTCTCTTTATTTCTTGTGTGTGTGTGTGTGTGTGTGTGTGTGTGTGTGTGTGTGGTTTTGTTGGTTGTTTCAAGACAGGACTTCTGTGTGTAACCTTGGCCATCCTGGAACTCATTCTGAAGACCAGGCTGACCTCAAATTCACAGAGATCCACCTGGCCACTGCCTCTGAGTTGCTGGGATTAAGGTATGTGCCACTACACCTGGCACCTCCAACTACTAACATGCTAGGCCCAACTTTGTCTTGTGATTTGCACCATTCTGAGAGTCTTGTGACCTCTGATTGGCCTCATGTACTCCACTTTGTTGCTTAGCCAGTTCTCCCTAAGGTACAGGTCTGTGGATTTTTTTGAGACAAGAGTCTTACCATGTAGCTCTAGCTGTCCTGGAACTCACTATGTAGATCAGGCTGGCCTCAAACTCACAGAGATACTGCCTACCTCTGCTTCCCAAGTGCTGGAATTGAAGGTGTGTGCCACCCACGCCCAGCTAAGGTACAGTTTTTTAATGTTAACATATGCTGTGGTCTTTACAAACTCTTCTAATCATTCATGGATTATCTTACCAGTACCCTAAATCTCCCCTACCTAAGGCCTATTACTCCCTAACAAGAACACTGCTTCACCAAGACTGCTCTAGTTGCTGTTAATCAAGAATGCTTTTTCTTCTACTCACACTTAAAAAGGAACCCTTCGTGTGGAAATTATCTTCCCAGATTGAAAAGCTTTCTTTATTATATGTACAGTTGATTTTAAAAAACATTTGTTTATGGGTGTTTTGCTTACATGTATGTATGTGTAACACATGTGTGCCTGCAGAGGCCAGAAGACAACATTACATACCCTGGAACTGGAGTTACAGATGGTTGTGAGTAACTCATGTTGGTGATAGGAATCCAGCCTCAGTACACTGGAAGAGCAGCCGAGTTCTCTTAACCTCTAAGACAGTTCATCAGCCCCTATGGTTGATTTTTTTATATCCATAGAAAATATATTTTGTGAAGTCTTGCAAATGCTGGACCATTGCTTGTGGAAGGAAAGAATTCTTTTACAACACACACACACATACACACACACACAGTCACACACAATGTATATCTTACAGATTTTAATGTTACATTCTAGAAACAACTGATCCTGATAGGTGTTTATTCTTTATTTTTACAGAAGTGATATTACTTGTCCAAGGCTATCCCACTAACAGATGCCAGAATTGGGATTCATTTTTGTCAGACTGGTGGCTGAGCTTCTGAAACTGTACTGCATTGGCTCCTCCCTGTCATATCACCTCTGTTTGAAATCGATGAGCCTTCTGTTCTTGAATGCACACAGAAGCACATGCCTATCGACACGGAGGTCATAGTTAAATTTTAGTGACTAGGCAAATTCACAGTGCACAGTGTACCATTAAAGAAGTATAGACTATATGTCATTTACAGATTAAATCATTTGTGACACCAGATGACCACTGATAACATTTAGGTAATCACCATCTAAGACTCCTCTTCATATATTTCTTTGAAGATCAGAGAAATAACTTATTAGGGTTTTGTACTCAACCCTTTCTCTCCAACAGTTTCTCAGAACAATGCGTGCAATCCTGAAAAATTTATGAATCGTTTAATACATAAAAGATAATATGTAAGTTATGAAGCATACCATGAATGCACCAATCAACACACTGATACTGTTAATTGGTGCCCTGTTCACTTGCCCCCTTAACATTGCTTCCCTCCAGACATCACTATTACATGACATTTCATATTTTTTTATGCTTAGCTTTTTTTTATTATAGTTTATTCACTTTGTACCCAGCTGTAACCCTCTCCCTCATCCCCTCCCAATCCCACCTTCCCTCCCTTATCTCTTTCCATACCCCTCCCCAAGTTCACTGATGGGGGAACTCCTCCTTCCCTTCTATCTGACCCTAGCCTATCGGGTCTCAGTACTGGCTACATTGTCTTCCTCTGTGGCCTGGTAAGGCTGCTCCCACCTTAGGGAGAGGTGATCAAAGAGCCAGCCACTGAGTTCATGCCAGTCCCTGTTCCCATTGCTATGGAACCCTCTTGGAGACTGAGCTGCCATCGGCTACATCTGTGCAGGGGTTCCAGGTTATCTCCATGAATGGTCCTTGGTTGGAGTATCATTCTTAGAAAAGACCCCTGTGCCCATATCTTTTGGTTCTGCTGCTCTCCTTGTGGAGCTCCTGTCCCCTCCAGGTCTTTCTGTCTCCCCCTTCTTTCATAAGATTCCCTGCCCAAAGTCTGGCTATGAGTCTCAGCATCTGCTTTAATACCCTTTATATAAAGAGAAATTATATGCATATTCAGCAATTTTTAAACTTTATTTGACTTATATACTTGAATAGCTTTCAATAAGAACTGTTATCATTTTAATGGCTGCTTTGGATTTCTTTTTTGTTGGTTTTATCTTTTTTTTTTTTTTTTGGGGGGGGGTGTTTCTGTGTAGCCCTGGCTGTAGACCAGGCTAGCCTTGAATTCAGAGATTCTCCTGCCCCTGCCTCCCAAATGCTGGGATTTAAAGGTGTGTGCCACCACTGCCCTGCTGCTGCTTTGTATTTCATTGTATGAGTATAGCATGGCTATTTAACCAAGATCCATAATGAGTATGTTTTGTTTGTGCAGTATATAAAGTATATAAAACGGCAATCTTGTATGTAATTCATTCCCTCTTCCTCATTTTTACTCAGTTTTTGGAGCTCAGTTAAAACACTGATTTGAACAGAAAAGTTCACCAGGTGCCCTGTCTTGTTGAACTTCATGTCATATATTGTTTCTGTTTTGTTTTAGCTCTGGATGAGGGGGATATCGCCTTGTTGAAAACTTACGTAAGTCTTTTAAATGGCTACAACATTGTGTGTGTGTGTGTGTGTGTGTGTGTAGATGTTTTGTGTTTAAACAAGAACTGTTTGTCTCTAAACTGATGAGAAGGGAATAGCTAAGAGTTCACAGTAATTAAGAAGAGCTGCCTGTCTGCCCAAAGTGTCTAGGTGGCAACAGAGTGGGTATGCAGGGTATTTTAACTCACTCCTGATCTTCATGTAGCCTCTAAGAAGGAGTGGCAAAATACTGAAGGATATGTGACATGTATAGAGGTTTGTTGAAATTAAAATGTATGTGTCAGAATTAGATTTGAAGTGGAAATTTTAGGTATATAGAAATCGGGTACTTCTCAGCTAGGTGTGGTAGCTCTCATCTGTCGCCAGCACTCAGGATTGCCACGGTGGGAGGCCAGCCAGGGGTACCTGGTAAGGTGCAGATCAACTGCAGGCTGAAACTGTCAGGAAGTAACAAGTAACAGCTTAGGAACATGTCTGAAATGGTTTGCCTCCTCATTCCCCAGGCTCTGACACAGTAAGACTGTCACTGTTGAAAGTTGTAGCTGACGTGAGTAAACAGCTGATATTCAGATGTTTTAATTAAACTGATCTTTATCACCTAGGGTCAGAGTACTTATTCTAGGCAGATCAAGCAGGTTGAGGACGACATTCAACAACTTCTCAAAAAAATTAATGAGCTTACTGGTATGTATTTATCCCTACTTCCTTTCTTTAAATGAATTATTGATTGTGCTAAAATTTTTTAAGTAGAAATTTGAAGTAAAATTTGAGGTTAAATCATGAATTTTAGGTTTTTTTTTTTTAAAAAATCTTAATAAACACATTTAATACTCTTTTACTATATACTTTTTTATAGCTGTATTTAATCTTTATGTAATTGAGTAACATCATCCTTTATACAAGTAATATTTCTTCTGGTCAAAGAAGAAATAGTTGAGCAAACTCTAATATATCTAAAACTTATATTGGATAAAAATGTGGGTTTTTTGTTTGTTTGTTTGTTTGTTTGTTTTGTTTTGTTTTTTCCAGTATGGCTATTGCCTGATTGTTGGCACTTTCTTGGGAATTTAAATAGTGAAGTCTTACAGTACAAAAAAACAAAAGTCAAGTAGGCGTTGCTTTTTTGGTTTTGGTTGCTTTGGGGCAGTGGTTGTGGGTGGGAGGGCTATAGGATAATGATAGTGTCTGAAGGCGTTAGGCATTAGTGCCTGTGGTACAAGTAAGGTAGTACTCGTGCTATATAGTGGCCAGAAGGCAGGGATGCTGCTGAGCATCCTGCAAAATGTACAGGACACTCCCTGGAAAAAGGGGTTATTCAGCCCAAATGCCAATAGAGCTGGGGTTGAGAAAGTTAGTCTTAGAGCGATGTAATACATTTTGCTGAATCTTGTCATCATTCTCTATAGGTATTAAAGAGTCTGACACTGGCCTGGCACCACCAGCCCTCTGGGATTTGGCTGCAGATAAACAGACACTTCAGAGTGAGCAGCCTTTACAGGTTGCCAGGTATGCACGATGCTCTTTGGGAACTTACGGTTATTTCCAAGCACATTTTACACTTTGAAACTAATACAGTAGTTTAAAATTTTTTTCGATTCACATTGTATAAAAAAAGCTCATAGGATATAAGCATCTTGAATTAAAATTTTGTATTTTAAGTAGTTATTAAAAATACATGAAGTTACGAGTATATAAATGATTTAGATGATCAGAAAGTACAGGGCACAGTACAAAGACCTCAATTCTCATGCTGTAGTGATCCTTTTAATCCTCTTATGTGTGTCCGCATGCAAAGAAGTAAATCTTGTGTCCTTAGTTTTTTTATGACATTTATTTATTGTGTGTGAGCACTCCCATGTGCAGAGTTTGGGTGTGGGGGTCAGAAGATAACTTTGGGATCCTCCTGTTTACCATGTGGATTCTGGAGCATAAACTCAGAGCATCGGGTTTGGTGGCAAGCCCCTTTACCTGCTGAGCTATCCATCCTACCAGCCCCTTGAGGTTTTTGTTTGTTTGTTTGTTTGTTTGGTGTGTGTGTTTTGGGTTTTCAAAACAGGGTTTCTTTGTGTAGCCTTAGCTGTGCTGGAACTAACTAAACCAGGCTGGCCTTGAGATCACAGAGATCTGCCTGCCTCTGTGTCTTGAGCTGCTAATAACAGGGTTTGCCACCTCCGCCACTGCTGCCTGGCTGATAGGTTTTGTTCTTGAGTCTGCCTTGCTAATACAGTGTAGGAGTCTCTATGTGGGCTAGGCTGACTTGAGGTTGGGATGGTCCTTTAGCTTCTGTGTCTGGAAGGCTGGGATTGCAGATCTGCTGTGCCGTGTTCATGCCAGGTTTATTTCTTTTTATGGATATGTTCTGTTCTGGTGTTCTTTCTTTGTTAAAATGGAGTGTGATCCTGTTACCATGCTTTTCTCTCATCCTGTTCTCATACTCACTAATGACTTTATACATGACTTAGTTCTTTGATGATAATCTGTAATACTTACTTTAAAGTTTTTCTTTAATGAGAGCAGCATATTAGCTACCTGAGAGATAGTTCCTATTGGTGATTTCATGTATTCTCTATATTGACTTACTTCTTTCCTTTTTTGATGTCTTAAATTTTTATTTTGATTTTAAATTTTAATTTTTTTGTCTGACTGGAGTGTGGTTCAGTAATGGTTCTCGCTTAGCATACAGAAGGCCCATGGTTTAATCTTCAACACTGGGATGAAAACATAAGAACTAGACATTGTATTACATCAGCTCTGGAAATGAGGTTCCCTCTTGCCCAGTGTTAGTTTTTATTAGTACTTGTTCTTTTTTAAATTTTTTTTTTGTCAGCCTCTTGTTTGCTCATCTGATGATCAATAACTGTGGCTGATTGCTTTTCTTAGATTCTCTGTTCATGTTTCCTAACTAAACTTGGAGTCAGCTCAGATAAAAACAGGCCCTGAGAAGGATAGGCGGACACTTGATGGTTCTTTGAGTTTGGACTCTGAGGAGTGCTGGATGCATTCTGTCGCCCTAGTAGCTGTCAGGCTTCTGTTTTTCCTGGCACCACGGTTAGGAGGCTGTGTCTTTCAGGTTTCCTACAGTGTGGAGAGGAGGAAGAGACTGAGTTGAATTAAATGCACTATGATTTATTTGTTCTTACTGAGGTTCAGCCATTTCTAAGTTTTCCTTATTTTTAATGTTTTTAAAATTAATTATTAATTCTGAAGTGCCACAGCATGTCTGTAGAAATCAAACTCAGATCATTAGGCTTGGGAACAAGCACCATTTCCCACTGAGCCTCAAGAGCCACCAGCCTTTAAAAAAAGAATCCTTTACTAATTTCCAAGTTTGTAGAATACTGATTGTGACTGGTTCTGCTAGCATTCTTACTGCTTCTAAGGAGGAGTAGGCTATTGAAGGTACTTCCTTAGTCAGCCATTCTGTAAGTTAGTTTCTGTATAAGTACTTTTTCTTTTTTTTAAGGACGGTCTCTCCTAGCCTAGGCTGGTCTCAGACTTGTAGTGATCCTCCTGCCTCCTCACGTAGGGAAACATACCAACCTACTTTTTAAACTGATTAGCCAGACGTGATGGTAGGCATGGTAGTCCACACCTATAATCCTAGCACTCCCGAGGCTACATCAGGAGGCTCACTCACCACATGTGTGATACAGCCCCAGGTATGTGTTAAGACCATGTTTAAACCAAAAAACAAATGAATACTCCTCTCCCTGCCTTCCCCATGATTACAAATACCAAAATCTACCTATGTGCCTATGGAGCAGCAGGTAGCAGTCAGCTAAAGTAATCAGATACTTACTTCTCCATTAGAAGACCTTGCCTACCAGTAGAAAAGTCTTGTCATGTATGCTGAACACAAAATGTTCCTCCTTCAGTCCTGTCAGCATGGACACTTTAAGGCAGTTTTGCATTTCTCTGTATTTGTTGCTATGACTTATGCAATAGCTGCCTAAACACGTGTTATATATTCTATTTTCTTTATTAGGTACTTGGACACACATGCTGTATGTATTAACTTTTACCAGATCTCTCAGAGTGAATATTTTCAAATTAAAAAAAAACAAAAACAAAAAACATGCCTATGATCCCATCACTGGGAGGTACAAGCAGTTGTGTTTCTGAGTACAAAGCTAGCCTGGTCTACAGAGTGAGTTCCAGGACAGCCAGGGCTGTCTGCCTCAAAAAACCAAAAACAACAATAAAAATGGATTTAAAATGTGAACCCAGGGAAAAATGAAAACATGTAATTACTGAATTTGATATAAGAAACAGGGCTACATTCTTAATAGAGAAAATGAAAAGAAAGCCACCTAAGACAAAAAGGTGTCACTGATAATAAAGGGACATGAAAAGGAAAGCCAAATTTGAGAAGCACTAATGAAACTTGGCTTTATTTTTTCTGGGGAAGGGTATCTGAAATGTTTATGGCTCAGCTGAGGTTGAGCATAGGAAGGGTCTGGAGCTGGCCCAGCTGGTGCAGCTGTGGCCGCACTTGCTCCGGATCACACTGCACACCCTGGAAGGAACCCACTGACTTGAACTTACTGTTAGTGCTTTAGCTTCCTTACTCTCATGAAGCCTTTTGTTGTGTTAGATGTACGAAGATAATCAATGCTGATTCAGAGGACCCAAAATACATTATCAACGTAAAGCAGTTTGCCAAGTTTGTGGTGGATCTCAGTGATCAGGTGGCACCCACTGACATTGAAGAAGGGATGAGAGTTGGGTAAGTTCACACCGTGACTTTGTTTTGAATGAGTAAACATAATACTGTAGAGTACAAAGGATGGTTAGTACAATTCATGATCTCACCTTCTCTGAGAGCTGCCTGGCTTCACTCCAGGGTAGCCGTCCCTCTCCCACTGCTGCTTCTTATGCCTGGCTTGATGTGTCCGTCTTAAAGCAGCTAAGGTGGAGGCAGAACTTGTTTGAGAACAGTCAGTGAGGATTGACTGAATGTCTATAGAATACATAATAACTCGCTCTTCATAACTTTTTCTCTTCCTACCTTTTGAAACTGTCTTTTTTGCATATAATGTGACTTTAAAGATAAATATAAGTCAGAAAAGGTCCTCTTAGAACTTAAAGAGCATCTATTTCATTTTTATTTTTACTTCCTTAGTGTGGACAGAAATAAATACCAAATTCACATTCCACTACCTCCTAAGATTGACCCGACAGTTACAATGATGCAGGTAAGAAACGTGGGAAAAGGGATTGGCATGACTTTAATATAATTGTGAGCCAGGCATAGTGGCTCATATCTGTAATCCAGCATTTGGGAGGCCTAGGCTGAAGGATTGCCATGAATTAAAGCCAGCCTCAGCTACAGAATGAAAGCCTATTTCATAAAAACAAACAAAACCCCAAAACAAAGAAAAAGCAATTGCATTTATTCCAAAAAAGTTTGAAGCTTTTAAGCAGATAATGTAGGTACTATACCAAGCAGTTACCAAAAATTTAAAAATATTTGGGAAGTGTTTGTCATTTAATGACATAATATGTGGCATAACAAATAATTCTAAGACACTGGAATTAATTGATGTTCTAACATATAACATAATTCTAAGTCCGTTTTTATGAACATGGTTATTACAGCCTGGATTGTATGGTACTAAGTCTTCTGTGAAGGATCTGGTCTGCTACTCAAAAGCCTAAACTCATTTGTGTAATCTTTCTCTTGTAGGTGGAGGAAAAACCTGACGTCACATACAGTGATGTTGGTGGTTGTAAGGAACAGATTGAGAAACTGCGAGAAGTGGTTGAAACCCCACTACTCCATGTAAGTAGATGAGTGTCTCGTTTAAACTCCTCTTGTAAAGCTGCAGTGATCTACTGGGCAGTGAACACTAACGTTGCTTGTGTTCTCCAGAGCTTTTGAATGTTCTATTTTTCTTAATGAAAACTTCTGATAGGATAGAGGTGTGGAAAGATTACATTTCATTAGAGAGCAAACAAAAAAACTGAGTGGCTGGTGTATTATAAGCAGATCTGCTATTTAGATTTATCAGTCTAAGGAAATTGGAGGTGTGGCCTGTAGTGATAGGTATATAGAAGAAAATTGTTATTATAGAAGAAAATTGTTCCAGTGACATGAAGAAAAAAAGTTAAACCTTGGAGGATAGTGGAATATAGAATACAAGATGAATTGATTTTTTAAAGCACTGTAAATATTTAAAGTGAAAATTATGTAGTAAAGATTGGATAATTAAAGCATCTTCAAAAGTCATTTAGATGCATTGATATGATTTTAGTTTAAATATTGTCTTATAATAAGTAAAATTATTTTAGACCAAGTACACAAATTATAGATCTAAATTGTTTCAGTATAGAAGTCTTATTTTTATATTATCTTATATTTTTATTATACAGAAATGGTAAGTGTGAAATTTGTGTCTCTATCACAGCCAGAGAGGTTTGTTAACCTTGGAATTGAGCCTCCAAAGGGCGTGCTGCTGTTTGGTCCTCCAGGCACAGGCAAGACACTCTGCGCTAGGGCAGTTGCTAATCGGACTGACGCCTGCTTCATTCGAGTTATTGGGTCTGAGCTCGTCCAGAAATATGTTGGCGAGGTAAAGTGAATTGGTCAAAACTAAAGTTCTGTGAGAGATTTGTGATGTGTGCATGAAATTCAGAAAATATTTCAAGTAGGCTACCTTTTAAAATTCTGATAAACATGTTTTCTCCCAAAAGGATGGCATTTAGTGCAGTTTTGGTGTATGAGGTAAAATCCCCACAAATGCTGGGTAAATGAAATTTTAGTTCAGGGACAGTATTCTGTGGCTTAATGAGAAAGAGAAAATATGGATTGTCTATATTTGTGGGGAGGGCTATTTACATACACACACATAGTCACACAGGTGTTTAAGTACATATATTAGGTTAACATCTACAGCTGTATATATTATAATCTAAAACATAGTTTAATATGCTTAGGATTACCAGAAGGGTCGTGTGACTTAGTATGTATTTTAATGTTTTGATCACAGCCTAATCAAAATCAGTGATCAGTAATTCCAGGTGACAGATTGAACACTTTATTTCCTCAAGTTTTGCTGAATGTCAACATAACTGGTGGCATGCCTATAATTCTGGCACTCTGGGAGGCAGAGCCAGGCTGATCTCTGGGTTCGAGGCCAGTCTAGTCTACAAAGTGAGTCCAGGACAGTCAAGGCTATACAGAGAAACCCTTCTTCGAAAACAAAAACAAAACAGAAAAAGAGTGTTAATTTAACCATGTCTAGTCTGAACCTTAGTGCTGTTTAATAGCCATGAAACTATATGATACTGTCTTGAGGCTAGCAAGATTAATTTGATAATACAGATAGCAAACCAGTCTTGTCATTGTTTTTTGTTTATTTTTGTGTTTTTGAGACAGTGTCTGTGCAGCCCTGCCTGTCTTGGAACTCACTCTGTATACAAGGCCAGCTTTGAACTGAGGTCCCCTGCCTCTGCCTCCTGAGTGCTAAGACTAAAGGTGTGTGCCACCACTGCCTGCCTCAAACTTCAGTCTTTTTTAAAACTGCTTTAGATGAGTACGCTGTTTAAAAAGTGTTGATAAGTATGTAGTATAGTTTATCTATTGTACTTTAAAAGATTTTGAAACCAACTCTGTAATAATCAAATTTTCTCATTAGGGAGCCCGAATGGTTCGTGAGCTTTTTGAAATGGCCAGGACAAAAAAAGCCTGCCTTATTTTCTTTGATGAAATTGATGCCATTGGAGGTATGGATAATATTTTATTGATCTCGTTACTTTTTATTATGTGTGTATATACACACGTGTGCGCATACAGTGCGATATTATGCATGTGGTTAAAGGACAGCCTATGGGGTCAATTCTCTCCTACCATGTGGGTCACAGGGATCAAATTCAGCTTGTCAAGCTTGGTGGCAGGCACCTTTGCCCCCTGAATGATATCCTGAATGATACTTTAAAGAATTACGTAGACTAGGACTAGCTTGAAACCTACAGAGACAATATTGAAAGATGTGTGTTGACTCCTGTCATTTCTGCTGCTTTTGTAGTGTTTGATGTTTTCTTAACACTCATTTGCTTAACCACTGTTGTAACATTGTTTCTTTCCTGTAGCCTCCTAGATGTACTTGTTCTTTTAGTCCAAAAACCTTTCATTATCCTCTGTAGAACTGAGTTAGTGATCACAGATTCTTTAATACTGCTTTTATCATAGAAAGCTTTTTAGTTCTTCAATCATCGTCATCATCCGTAGTACCATCTTTCAACTATTAGTGAGAAGAAAGGTAAAGCTATGTTAACAGATAATATGGAACATGTCTGCCTCTTAGGCCACAGAGATCCTGCAAATTAGGCCAAGTTCATTCTTTGGGAATAGAGGATGAGAAAAATGAAGCCAGGCATGGTGGGCCTGTAATCCTAGCACTTGGTTTTTTGAGACAAGGTTTTTTTTGTGTTAACAGAGACCAGGCAGTCATGGCCTTGCTTTGTAGAATAGGCTGGCATTAAACTCTCAGAGATCCACTTGCTTCTGCCGCCCTCGTGCTGGAATTAAAGGCGTGTCAGGCATAAGTCTTTTTCAAACGGTGTCTTGCTTATGTGAGTTGCCTTGTGCTGAGCACCCAGTGAGGAGGAAGGTTTGTCCCTGTGTCTCCTGCTAATGCTATTGCTTCCCTGGGCATGGTCTTTTTTTTCTAGCTATTGAGAATGTTCGATAGTCTTTGCTTTTATTTTGAATTATGTGTGGGTGGGTATGTGCATGTGTGAGTGTAGTGTCTGCAGAGGACAGAAGGTACCATATCCTCCTGGAGCTGGAGTTGCCGGCAGTTGCTACTGCAGGACATAGATTCTAGGAAACTGACTTAGAGGGTCTTCTGCAAGAGCTTGTCGATGCCTTGGAGCTGGAGTTGCAGGCAGTTGTGAACCATCTGTAAGGCTTGGGGAATGGAACTGGGGTCATCTATAAGAACGGCAAGAGCTCTTAACTGTGAGCCATCTCTATTCTCCTAATATTCTTTGGATAATTGTTTTTGAGCTTTCCCTAGATTATTACCTGGGGACCATCTCTATTCCCGTGATAATCTCTGGATAGCTGTTTTCTAGCTTCCCCCAGATTATTATTACCTGGAGACTCTAGCAGAGGTAATAGATGCCATCTTGAAACTCTTCCCTGAAGAAGTGTTCTTTATTAATTTGCAGAACAAAATTTCCTGAAGGAATAACTTCAGTGATACTGAAAGAAAACTATTAAGTCAAATTTATGGTGAATTCTTTTTTTTTTTTTTTTGAGACAAGGTTTCTCTGTGCAGCCCTGTCTGTCCTGGAACTCACTCTGTAGGCTGGCCTCAAACTCAAGAGATCCACTTGCCCCTGCCTCCTGAGTGCTGGCTTTAAAGGCATGTGCCACCACTGACCAGCTTATGGTGATTTCTTTCTAAAGCAAAGATTTGTCCAAGTTCAAACTGAGCAGAATTCCAGCACTGAGAAGGCCAAGTGGACACAAAATCTCATCCCTAACTAAGAAGCTATTTGCAATTGATCCCTGCTGGGAAATGGAAAAAAAAAAAAATCAATATTCTTCAGTGGAATGTCACTGTTAATATCAACCCAGCTCAGCCTAGTAGTAGTTGACCAGCACAAAACAGGCTACCTACTTTTTGTGTCTTTTTGTTTCAGTTTGTTTTCCTTTGGTATATTTTGCTTTCTAATTTGTTTTATAACTTAGAAGTAGGGTGTGTGCTTTGCTGAAAGGGAAGGCTGTGAGCCAAGGTATGCCATTTTCAGGTCCTGAGTGGACAAGAGGTGCTTCTCTGTTATCTTGTCAGGGGCTCGGTTTGATGATGGCGCTGGGGGTGACAATGAAGTGCAGAGAACGATGTTGGAACTGATCAACCAGCTGGATGGTTTTGATCCTCGAGGCAACATCAAAGTGCTGATGGCCACTAACCGACCCGATACTTTGGATCCAGCACTGATGAGGCCGGGGAGACTGGACAGGAAGATTGAGTTCAGCTTGCCTGATTTAGAGGTTAAAAAAACTTACTTAAGAAAAAAATTAAAGTTTTGTCTTTCTGTGATAATATTTTCATTTTAATATATGTGAATTCCTTCATTTTTAGGGCCGGACTCACATCTTTAAGATTCATGCTCGTTCAATGAGTGTTGAAAGGGACATTAGATTTGAGTTGTTAGCCCGACTGTGTCCAAACAGCACTGGTGAGTGGTGGTCTTGTTGGTTTGCCAGTCAGTCTTCATTAACTGTGATTAACTGTTTTTGTTTTCTCTGTGTTGGACAGGAGCGGAGATTAGAAGTGTTTGCACAGAAGCTGGTATGTTTGCAATCCGAGCACGTCGAAAAATTGCTACAGAGAAGGACTTCTTGGAAGCTGTAAATAAGGTCATCAAGTCTTACGCCAAATTTAGCGCTACTCCTCGCTACATGACATACAATTGAGCCCCAGAGGCTTTGAGTGAAAGAACTTCCTGCGCTTGTATGACTTGTTGCCACCTCAAAAAAATAAAAGATTTCAAAATGAAGTAAGTGCTTCCAGATCACTGTTCCCCGCAGTTCAGAATTAGTCCAAACAATGCTCCAAGGCACTGTTGCCCTGGCCTTGGTCCCCTGTTGTCTGAAGGGTTGCTGCATAAGCACTTCTTTAACCCAGTAACTCCTGCTCTGCTAGTGCTGCCTGGCACTGTACACTTACTGTTTCATTGTCTCTTTGACTGCAGATCCTCAGGCACAAAATGTTTAGGTGTGTTAGGCCCCATTACTTATTGTCTGGAACTCTCCTGCCATCATCAGAATAGTCCATATGGGTACATGGCCACATTTGCTTTTCACTCATAGTAAAGATTTTTTTGTAGTAAGGTTTTGCCCAAACTGGTCTTTGTTTTGTTGGTTGTGCCTAGTACTGAGCTTTTGCATGCTAGGCAAACACTCTACCACTGAACTATATACTCCCAGCTTGGGACAAATGCTTTTTTTAAATGAAAGCAGCATTTAATATATTGTCTTCTGCCATTTGAACAGTTTCAGATCCGTCAAAAATTGGTGGTTTTATGAACAGTGAAATGGTAGGAGGTAAAAGGAGGTAAAGTGTGAGGATTTAGAAAATTCAGAACTATGGTAAATTCATAGAAAAATATATTTAGTGATTGAAAATTGGTAAAGCTCTGATTAAGCTTCTTGTCTGTGCTGAGTTATTTTTACTTATTTACTTGATTTGAGGTAGAGTATCTCTGAGTCTTGGCTATCTAAGAACTCACCGTGTAGATCAGGCTGGTCTTGAACTCAGATCCGCCTGCCTCTGTCCTAGGATTAAAGGTCCTACTCTAGGCCTGACTTGAGTTATTTTTAAAACAAAGGTGAGTTTGACTCTTCGACTCGTCTCTTTAAAATTATTTCTTGTGCAACTATCACCAAGTCACTTGTGTGTGTGTGTCTCTGTGGAGGCCAGAAGTCAGCTTCCAGAGCTATGTATCCTATTTCTTTTGACTTTGTTAATAGGACAGAGTTCTTACCAGGAAGGGCCAGGGATTCCCCAAATCTCTGCCCAGTACCACCATACCTGCCTTAAGAATTTGGATTCTTATGGATCAGACTGGCTCTTCAGGTTTACACAGCAAATTTTCTATGTGGAATTAAATATCTCCCCAGCCCCCAAGTCTTACTCTCCTAAATATTGAAGCAAAACACAATAAATAGTATTTTTATTGAAGTGTAATATTCACAAATAGCAAAATAGCAAGAGCTGTGTACATTTTTTAAGGTAGAAGAAAAAGTTGAGACTATAAGAAAGTTGCTGTGTCACACTGAAAAGTTAAGCCTATGAAAGTATTCAAGTAGAGCCTTTCATAAAATACAGTGTGCTTTCTTCCTTGATTTTTGATTGGAAAAGGTAATTTCTAACCCTGCTCTAGTCTTGCTTGTATGAAACAGAGCAAACCATTCTGAAGTCCTCACAGGAAAGCAAATTCATGCCAGTACCTGGAGATGTGTGTATGTGTGTCATTAAGATGTTCCAACTTGTTTCTGTCCCAGTCTATATCCTACATGGTGTAGTGTTAACTTGGACAGTTTTGCTGGTGGGGTTTGAGGGGTTTCTTATATTTGGATATATATTTGGAGAATTAAATAATACATTTTCAGTTCTCAAACTTTTAGCATTTATGAATTCCAGTATGCTGAATCCTATAAAAGTAGTCCTGAAACAAAGACAGAATCGTACAGGCTCAAGGAAGTGTTTTCATTTTAAAGCTTAAATTGATTTAGTATCTTTAAACGGTTAGGCAATAGTTAAGGACTTTCCCACCCACTGCAGACTCTTTCATCTTTGATTCCCCACATAGGGGAACCCAGCCATCACAATCATGTAGAAAGCACACCTCTATTGTTCCAGAGAAGGCCCTCTGTGTTTGTTGCCCTTCGTGCACACAAGAAGCCAGATTGATATCCTTAAAACTCTCACTTGGCGTCAGGTACTCCCTTTCTCTACTATACAGGCTGAAACTACACAGAACAGACAGTTTAGACACTGAAAACTACGAAATGAGCAGCTCCCAAGGCTTGAAGAGTCCATGCCCATTAACTGTTTCTCTGGTTCCACCCTTATAGCAGCTGTAGTATTCAGGGTCTATGACTGTGGTTTGGAGTGTTCTTGGCCCTCATTTTTGGTTTTAAAAATACATTCTATCCTTTCATGAAGTGTACGATAAGGATTTGAGAGCAACAATTTCTCAGACGTTCCTGAAAACCACCTTTCTATACTGCCATGAATCAAGGCTGTCCTAAGTCTTAAGTCCTAGATCTGTCATCCATAAGGCCCATTTATTTTTCAGTTTTAAAACTTCTATGTGGTGTGTGTGTGATGTATATGCTGCAGCATATTTGGAGGCCTAAGGACCTTTGGGGGAAGTTGGTTCTTTAACCTCGTCGTCCCGGGGAATGAACTTTGGTCATCAGCTTTGGCTGACACCTTTACCCACCTTTGCCTGCCAGCTGTATAATGTGAATAAGTCAGAAAAAAGCATAGTAAGTTATGAATAGTGGTTATTAAGGCCCACAGAGGACAGGCAGGCACATACATTGAGTGTTCAGAAGAGAGAAAAAAGTTAAGACTTTCAAAAGGTTAAGAAATTTTCCGTGTGAAACAATTCTGAGTAAAATATTTGGATGTATTTACATACTGATGGAATGTTATTTGACATTTTCAGATCATAATAAAACAGCTATTTTTCAACCTTGGGAAACAAGTGTTTTTATGTACATAATAGGATTCTACTAAAAAAAAGCTAAAAATGGAAAAATTGGGAGTAAAATATAAGCAGGTGAAATGTAGAATAAATGCCCTCTGGTGAACATTGTTTATAGGTCAGTAGGACCTGAGACTGGTGCTAAGGAATACACAGCTAAGTATTTTGTAAAGCTTTGTTTAAAGCTTTAGATTCTACTCAGGGGCCCACTGATGTAGGCCTTTTCCAAAGGCTTCTACTGTAAGCTTAAGTCTGTAACTCTTGCTCTTCAGAAGGCAGTCTGTCAGAATGCAGATGCATCTGATCTTGTGTGTGATGCCGGTACAGAAATACCTGGATGTAAATCTGTTTCATGCAGGCCAGGGGAAGAAGGAAGTGGTCAACTTTGAATCATTAGTGAAGTTACTAAGAAACCGCATTGATGGCTCCGACTGCTACCAGACCAACATGGGAGATGCCTGTGTTAATATAAAGCAGGTGCCATTTGCATTCAGGCAGTGGAAGAAGACCCACTAAGCCCCCGTACCCTGCACCTGCCGAAAGGTTCCATGCCTCCATGTCCTCACGGTGGGGCTGGGGAAGCCTGGCTGAATAAGACCCTAGAATGAGGCTACTGCGGAGACACCTCTGGGCAGGGAGACCATCCCAGGAGTTGCCATAGTCCCTAAGTGACCCCTACCTCCAAAGTTGTTTGTTTTGAGACAGGGTCTCATGTTGCCCAGGCCAGCCTTGAATTCCCTACCTAGCCAGAAATGACCTTGAGGACTTAGGAGATGACTTAGCAGGTAAAGACAGTCGCTATGCCTGACAACCTAAGTTTGCTCCCTGGGACCCCTACAGTGGAAGGACAGATTCCCACCTCAACTCCACAGGTTATTCTACTACACTTATGTAGGTGCCTCATAAAATGTAAAAACCGTGAAATGCTAATCCTCTTGTCTGTGACACCTGAGTGCTGGTGTGTGTGTAATTATGTTAACAGTGGGGTTGTAACCTAGCGCCCTTGGTGTGCTGTACAGTATAACCTAGCACTCTAGTATGCAGATAACGAAATCAGGAGTGAGAAAGCAAAACAAATATAACGTGAAGATATAATACAAACATCACTACATAAGTTCGAAAGACCACTTAAGCTTTGAATTATTCAGTTAAAACAACACAAGTCTGAGATACATCGCACTACACATCATTCACCCTCCAAATCAAGCCATAACTACTAACATTTTCCTTGGGGGTTGGGTAGAAGAAAACCTAAGGTCTGGTATTTAAAGCATGTAAGTTCAGAATTCAAGAAGTGCACAGGCCCAGGCAGGCCCTTTATGCCTCCGGTGTGGTGGGTGTGGCATTGGGCTCCATATCGTCCTGGGGAGGTGGGACTGAGGCTTCTTGCTCAGCCATTGCCTCTCGAACGTGGCTGCCCAAGACTGCATCATGGATACTGTGGAACAGAAGCTCTTTTAAGGCAGGATTTTCAAAGAAACGGTTGCGGGTGAGGTCATTCACGACTTGTGCTATATAAAAAAAGAAAAAAAATTTCATATTCCACATTTTGATTTTAAAAGCAATTTGTTCACAGTTCAAAAAGATTAATTTGTTAATTTAGAGACAGGTTTTCATGTAACCCAGGCTGGCCTTGAACTCTTGATTCTCCCGCTTCTGCCTTTCCCAAGTGCTCAGGTATCACATTAAACACACATACACTATATATATACATACATACATAAATATACACACATACATATATACACATATATACGTGTGTGTTTGTGTATGTGTATTTACTATGTATCCCTTGCTAGCCTAGAACTCAAGTAGTTCAGGCTGCCCTCAGATTTACTGAAATCTGCTTGCCTCTGCTTCCCAAGTGCTGGGATTAAAGGTGTGCATCGCCACACCCTGCACATTACTGGAATATTTAAAATCCCAGTTTTAATATTCAAATGCTATGTTAAGTCTTACTCTAGTTTGTCTATCCTGTCACAGTCCTAGTCTCAGGAAATGACATTTCTTTCTAGTATATTCCTCCATGATTTCTCAATAAGAATGTAAACGTAGGCCTGGTATGGTGGCAGTCATTTTTGTTGGTTTTTTGAGACAGGGTTCCTCTGTGTGGCCATTGGCTGTCCTGGAGTCTCTCTTAGATCAGGCTGGCCTTGAACTCACAGAGATCCACCAGCCTCCCCAAGTGCTGGGATTAGAGGTGCGAGCCACCATGCCTACATCTTTAATCCCTGCACTTGGGAGGAAATCCTAACAAGCAGAATGATTTATAGAATTATGAC